TTAAAGAAAGGGGTGGGAAAAATCATCTGAAAAGATAATGTGACTGGAAGTTGCACAATGTCCTCTTAAAAATTCTTTTGAGGAAATAAATAAGGTTTTCCCCTGTTCCTAAACTGGAACTAATATTGTGTTAGCCTAATGTGCGAGAACCAACGAGGGAGAATAAGAAAGAAATGCAACAGATTAGGCAAGCCATAAACTGTAGACCAGAAACCTTGACTGCCTAGAAGTTCAGAAAGGAATCTACGTCAGTGTTTTAATAATAGTGTTCTTGATGATAAACTCAGAGATGATTGAAATCATAGGCGTTCACTTCGCACTCTGCACAGTAGCATTTGGGGTTGAGTCCGACGCAGGCTTCACATTCCTGAAAAGATATAGTAAGTATGGAGTCACTGAAACAGCAACAGTGTTACTTAAGTTCCAGTGTTACTTAAGTTCCCGTAGTCTCGTGCTACGAGCAATTACTGTAGAAATGACTATATTCACTGAGCAGGTCTGTAGCCATCTCAAGCAAGAATAAGTTGGGTAAAATGATGCAAAGGTTGCCAGATCGTCTTGAAAGAGCTTGGATTTAAAAATCAAACCAACAGGGGTGGGTGTGGTGGCACGGCGGTTGAAGCTGCCGCTTCGGCCACCCGAATCCCGCCCGCATCAGAGTGTCAGCTCAGTTCCTGGCCACTCCACTTCTGCTCCAGCTCCCTGCTATTGTGCCTGGTAAGCAGGGCATCATGGCTTAAGCACTTGAGTTCTGCTACCCCTGTGGGAGACCCACATGGAGTCATGGCTCCTGGCTTCATCCTGGCCCAGCCGCAGCTTTTGCAGCCATTTGGGGAGTGAGCAAGCAAATGGAAGATACTCTCTCTCTTTCTCTCTGTGTCATTCTACCTTCCCAATAAATTAGTAAATCTTAACCACACAACACCTTATTGAAGTATGATGGACATATGTAAGGCTGTGTATATTTCATGTATACAACTTGATGAGTTTAGGGTAAGCGTATGCCCCTCAAACCATCAGTACGACCATGGCCATGAACATTTAGCTCTTCCCAGTGTTTTCCCAGCCTTCTTGGTTAGCATCCTTTTACATTTCAGGAGCCCACAGTGTGCGTGGATACTGAGAAAATCATCAGGGAGTGCCTTGGTTCGCTGGATCAGGGCATCAAGGATTCTTGGAGGGTAGGGGCTTCAAGGCCCGCTGTTAAGCAACACACATTCGTTTGCCTTCCTTGGCATTTAAATCATCAAGACTGATGCAAGTGGTAATTAGGGGGACTTACTGCACATCTGGAAAGCGATTCGGGAAGCGTAGAGGCAGCTGTACGGCCCTGGTCTAAATCACTGTCTGCCGGGTGCCGTGCGAGGGCTGGCTACGGTGGCACATGGCAGGCTGTGAAATATTGGCCGTCTTGGGCCCCAGTGGAGTAAAACAGCTGCTTTCTTCCTCCTGAGCAACACATATATTTTTCAGGTCCCCAGATTTTGGAGGAGTGCCGAGTGGTGGGGAGTGGGGTGGGAAATTAAACTTTCCGCTAGAAAGAAAGCAAGTTTGCTCAGTAGCCCGAAGGCTTAAGAACGGAAGAGTTGACTTGGAAGGTGTTCTTAGGCTGTGTGAGAGAGGAGGGGGAAAGTAAAAGTGGCTTTGCAACAGAGCTTTGCAAAAGATTTTTTGTTTTTGTTGTTGCCTCGACATGGGAGACCTAGAAGAAGCTCCTGGTTCCTGGCTTTGCCCTGGATCCACAGGCCACCCTCACAAGGCAGCTCTGTTCTCTCTCTGTCTGCTGGGGGACAGAGCTAAGGAAAGGCCGGACTGCAGAGGTGAACGGCAGTGGGGAGGCTTTGCCTCCTGGAAGGCAAGCAAACACCTCTGGGTTAATGGAGGTGGTGCTCTTTAATCCTAGGAGCCGCACAGGTGCTTCCCTGAGTGGCCAGGACAGTTGTGGAGTCGAGCCCTTTGTTTGGAGGCTGGTACTTGGCTCTCATGGTCATGGTCATGGCTGCTGGTATCTGGCGGTCAGGGCACAGACCTCTACAGGAGCTGCTCTCCGCTCTCTGCTAAAGTTGCCTCCAGGGATTGACCCAGTTGTGTGTGTGTGTGTGTGTGTGTGTCTGGCAGGGGTGGTGGGGTGGGGGGCTGCTCTGCCTCTCATTTGGCTGTCATTGGAGATTGCCTGTTGCCATCTGTCTCCTCTCTGTTCTCCCAGTACGCATGCCCGGCTTCCTTTCTTAACCAGGGCAGGATAGGGCACTGTAAGCCAGGCTGGTATGTGGTGGGGTTACTCTGTAGAGTGGGTGGTGAGGGTGGTATGAAGGCCATGTCTCTGTGTAGCAAGGTCATTTTCATAGCTAGGACGGAGGCAGATGGGGCAAGGTGGCGTAAGGGGGCAGGGAGACCCAGGTAGGAGGTTGTGGCCACTGGGGCATGTGCTGTTGGGTTGGGATTAGCCAGAGCAGTGCTCAGCATCAGGATTCAACACGGTGTGTGTCAGGAACCCCCTTTCAGATACCTGGGCTGGCTTCCTTTCTCCCAGGAGGGATTCTCCTTGGGGCATCCTTTTTGGAGGCGGTACAGGGAGGGCTGGTAGGCTGACCTCCCTGAGCTTGTTTTCAGAGGGTCAGTGGCAGGTTTCCTTTTGCCTTGACTGTTGTTTCCCTAACTGACAGTTTGACAACAACATCTGGAACTGAAGGGTGGGTTCAGGACTGGCACTGTGGTGTAGTAGATTAAGCCTCCACTTTGTGGTGCTGGCATCCCATATGGGCACTGGTTCTAGTCCCAATTGCTCCTCCTCTGATCCAGCTCTCTACTGTGGCCTGGGAAAGCAGTAGAAGATGGCCCAAGTGCTTGGGCCCCTGCACCCCCGTGGGAGACCTGAAAGAAGCTCCTGACTCCTGGCTTTGGATCGGCACAGCTCTGGCCATTGTGGCCATTTGGGAAGTGAACCAGTGGATGGAAGACCTCTCTGTGTAACTCTGCCTCTCAAATAAATAAATAAAATCTTTTTTTGTTTAAAGATTTATTTATTTTATCTGAATGGCAGAGTTACAGAGAGGCAGAGGCAGAGAGAGAGAGAAGGAGAGGGAGAGAGAGAGGGAGAGAAATCCTCCATCCATTGGTTTTCTCCCCAAATGGATGCACTGGCTGGAGCTATGCTGATCAGAAGCCAGAAGCCTCTTCTGGGTCTCCCACGCAGGTGCAGGGGCCTGAGGACTTGGGCCATCTTCTACTGCTTTCCCAGGCCATAGCAGAGACCTGGATCTCTAACCTGCACCTGCACCGCAGGCAGCAGCCTCACTGACTACACCACAGCGCCGGGCCCCAGTAAATAAAATCATTAAAAAAAAAAAAAACCAAAAAGGTGGATTCCTCCCTCATCCGTGGCTGTGGTCTCAGCTATGCCTGTGTCGTGGACTTCGCCCAGACGTGTTCAGATGTTTAACGATCTCGCTGACCTTGTCCGCAGCTCTGCGCTAGGAACTGTGGAAGTGATTGCTTTACTGTGGAAGATGTTACTGCTGGGAAAGGAAGCATCTTTTCTGAAGAAATTGCTCTTCAGTTTCTGTTTCTCTTCCCCCTGAGATCTGTGATATGCAGAAGTGGGCAAGAGACGGCGGCTTGCGCTGGCCCAGGCTCTGACCAAGGTTGAAGTCTTAGCAGAAAGGCCCTGGGAGAAATCTCACCGCAAAGCTTGCTTGCGTCTTGGGCAGCTCTGAAGTGCTAGCCACGTGTCTCGGGGTGAGGCAGGGACACTGAGTAACCCAAGGGGCTGGGAGCAGTCTGGAAAATGAGGGGGTGACCTTTAAGTTGTCTCAAAGTTGTGTTTTCCTGGGTTGTCTTGGTGAAATCACATTTCTAGATTGTCTTCCCAGAGAGGGGACACATGGAGAGGGAAAACAGAGGCGAGAAGAGGAACTGTCTTTTAATGGATGAGTCGGAGAAGAAATGCATAGCTTACGGATGCACGCTGCATTTCTGTCGTCCCCTCCGAGTGTGAAATCTGTACAGCTTTTGCATCAGACATATTTCCCATGAACTTTCTGATGACCCCTGTATATGTGGATGTCAACTTCTTTTGCACTGCCGTTGTCTTATCTTCTAATTCCATTTCCACAGACTTTGTAATGTCCCATCTTACTTACTTGGGAATCCACTTCTGAAAGGGAGGCTCTTTAGCAGGAAGCAAGATCTTAGAGTGACTGTCAGCCAAGTAGATCCTGATCACTTCCTGTGTGCCGGGCAGACTGGACAAGCAGGCTGAGGTCTCATGTTTCACCTGGAGGTAGCCTCTCTTGTTATTCCAGTGTCACCAAGAGGTTAAGAAATGTGCCCAAGGTCACTCCCCCCGGGGGGGACTGCTTACTTGGGTGCCTGCCTCTGGGAAGGGACAAGTGACAGGTTTACTTATTTATTTGGGTGGATTTGCAATGTGTGCTCTTGCATCTGTACTTGGAATAACTAATGCGTAATAAGTCTAACAAATACTATGAATATTAATGACTACAATGATGAGTGGTGCATAGTAATGAACACTAGTGACTAATGAGTAAGATTTCCCACTTTTCCTGGAGAGCCAGTGAAGTATGTCTCAGATGCAATGATCCCTGTCGGGTGTCTGGGTCTCAGGCTCCTTTCAGATCTCTGGGAGGTGTGGGTTGAAGACCTTGGTGCCTTGGCATCAGACTGTCCTGGGTTAGAGACCTGGCCTTCTTACACGTTAGCCCTGGGATGGGGGTCAGAGCAGTCACTTAGCTTATCTGAGCTACTGTCTGCCCATTGATGCAATGAGGGAAAAAGAACAGGTCCCATCCCAGAGAGCTGTTCTGAGGATTCGGGGGCGTCATGGGTGAAATTTAGCCTGGCGCATGTCCACTGTGCAGTCAGCATTGGCCGTTCTTGCTGTAAGTGTTGGATAGGACTTGGCCGTGGGGTCTCTTGGAGGTGCACTGACCTGACTGCCTTTGTGTTTTTCCTGTCTTCCCCTTCCCCCTCCCTCTCAGGATGGTTCCCTGGGTAACATCGATGACCTGGCACAGCAGTATGCAGATTATTACAACACCTGCTTCTCTGACGTGTGCGAGAGGATGGAGGAGCTGCGCAAGCGGCGGGTTTCCCAGGACCTGGACGTGGTGAGTGCGTTGCCCTGGGCTGCCCTGCCCTTGGTCCTTCTCCCAGGCCTCGCTGAGCCTGGAGCCTCTGTGTGCTCACAGCTCTGCTCTTTTTTTTTTTTTTTTTTTTTTTTTTTGACAGGCAGAGTGGACAGTGAGAGAGAGAGAGAGAGACAGAGAGAAAGGTCCTCCTTTTGCCGATGGTTCACCCTCCAATGGCCGCCGCAGCTGGCGCGCTGCGGCCGGCGCACCGCGCTGATCCGATGGCAGGAGCCAGGTGCTTCTCCCGGTCTCCCATGGGGTGCAGGGCCCAAGTACTTGGGCCATCCTCCACTGCACTCCCAGGCCACAGCAGAGGGCTGGCCTGGAAGAGGGGCAACCGGGACAGAATCCGATGCCCCGACCGGGACTAGAACCCGGTATGCCGGTGCCGCAAGGCAGAGGATTAGCCCAGTGAGCCGCGGCGCCGGCTCCTCTGCTCTTGTGCACCTGAAATTCAGGTCCCTGAAGGGCCAGCCTGCGTCTGTAGGTGACAAAGCAATGAGCATTGGCTGGGACACCATCATCACCCCAAAGACTGGATTTTTTTTTAAACTTTTTTAAAAAGATTATTTTTACGGGTGACCAGTGTGTGCTCTTGTTCATAGACCGTAAGCCCAAATTGTATTTAGCTGGTTCGTCTCATCTGTTCCTTCCTTTTTTCTTTTCTTCAAAAAAAAAAAAAAAAAAAAGCTAAAGCAGCAATAAATCGCCCATAATTGCTCACCTAGCAATAATCACCTGGATGTTTCAACAGTTCTCTCCATGTTTTCCTCAACATTTTAAATTGCAAGTGATTGCAAAGCAATCACTCACAGCCTTTTACGTAACATTTTACAATACTTCTTCCATGACATTGCAGTCTCTCTCTTCATGGTTGTATTCTCTTCTCACTTCTAGAGTGTTGAGATTCCTGTGGCCTTTATGTGTAGAAGTGGTAGAGCAGTCGGTGTGATAAATGATACTCTAGGTGCTTGCTGTGTAATCTGTACGAGTGCTGGTTACAATCTCTTACTGAAACTCCTGGGTGTATCCGAGTCAGTTTGCTACATACTGGATTCAGCTGAGGCCCCTGCTTTTCCCATTGTTTTGTTTTTGTTTTGCTGTGTTAGCCCAAGGAGCTCCTCAGGAAAAGGGGAAGGTGGGAGAAAAGGCCACCCCTCCCTGTCTCTTCACTCAGACCAACTCCTTTTGCACCTTGAATGCAGGGGGCTCCAGGGAGCTGTTTGGAATACCAGAGTCCCTCTGCCTTAAAAAAAAAAAAAAAAGTTGAAGATTGCTTACTCAATGAAATCTTTATCTATTTAAAAATGTTTCTATAAATGTAATTAGGATGGGAAAAAGAACAATAAAAAATTGACTAGTTTAGAACTAATTAAGATAAAGAATTTTTTTATTAATGAGTACTTTATTTTTAAAGATTTATTTATTTATCTGAAAGAGTAACAGAGAGATGAGGGAGAGATCTTCCATCATCTGGTTCATTCTCCAAATGACCCAGAGCCTAGAACTCCATCCATATCTCTCTCATGGGTGGCAGAGACACAAGCATTTGGGCCATATTCTGCTGCCTTCTCAGGCACAAGCAAGAAACCGAATTGGAGTTAGAGTGGCTGGGACTCAAACTGGCCCTCCAAAAGGATCGGATGTCGAAGCTTATCCCTATGTGTCTCCACACTGGCCCCATTAATGATTCATTTCATGTTACATCACCGGCTGGCATTGTGGTGTAATGGGTTAAGCCACCACTGGCAAAGGAGGCATCCTATGTGGGTGCCAGTTTGAGTCCCAGCTGTTCTATTTCTGATCCAGCTCTCTGCTATGGCCTGGGAAAAGCAGTGGAGGATGGCCCAAGTGCTTGGGCCCCTGCACCCCTGTGAGAGACCTGGAAGAAGCTCCTGGTCCTGGCTTTGGCCTGACTCAGCCTCTGTGCTTGCGGCCATTTGGGCAGTGAACCAACGGATGGAAGATCTCTGTATCTTTTCTCCCTTTCTCTCTGTAATGCTGCCTTTCATATAAATAAAACAATCCTTTTTAAAAAATTCATTTTATATTACTTCAAGGGACTGGTATTATTCAAGTGACCCAGCAAGTAGTTGAGTGCCACTGTGTGTGTTCCGTAAGTGGCTGTGACCTGCCTCCACCCCGATTCTGTCATTCTTAAAGGCTTTGCTTTCTTCCTTTAACTCGAACTAAGATTCCTGGGTCAGGAGTGCCATTGTAGGATAACTGCCAAATTCTCTTCCCTTTTTGTTTGCTGGTCCACACGGATGGGAATTAGTTTAATAGAGAAGTGTCCGTTGGGGCAGAGAGCCATTGTCCCAGGCGCCAGATACCTTGGCCAACACAGGGATTGTTTGTCCTGTGAGTGTCCCCTGACTTGGGTGAGTGGTGGGGTTATTTCCTTCTTCTTTTTTTTTTTTTTTTTTAACAAAGTAACCACATGCGTCAAAAGACTCACATGCCGTGCTAGAATTAATTAGGCTGTCTTATGTGGGGCCTAGTGGAAAAACTGTTTTCAGGGGTTGGCGTTTAGGGCGGTGGGTAAGAGGCTGCTTGGACTACCTTCCACATACAGTGCTGGGTTTGAGTCCTGGCTCTGACTCCAGCGTCCTGCTGATCTGCATCCTGGGAGGCGGCGGCCGGCGACTCAGATAGCGAGCTTCCTGCCGCCCACGTGGGAGACCTGGATTGAGTTCCCAGCTTGTGGCTTTGGCCTGGCCCCGCTCAAGCTGTTGCAGACAGTTGGGGACCGGCAGATGGGAGATTTCTGTCTGCCTTTGAAATAAATGAAATCATAAATTATGAAAAACTTTGAGATTCTTTCATTTTGGCAGTATTGCCACAATTAGAGTTTTACACGAAATTCTTGAATATTGCAAGTCTGGTGGCAAGTTTTTTGGCCTCCTCGACATTTCATTGTTTAAGGAGATGTGAATTAGTGCTCTGTTGAGAATTACAGCAGACTGAAGGTTGGGGTGACCATAAGGACCCCACGGTGTTTTGGGAACATCGAAGGCAGCTTCTAGGTCAGAAGCAAGGCTGCCTGTTGGTGAGATAAATACCTCCTCCTCTGTAAACAGGTGGGCCTGATTTGGTGCGCTCTGTTCCAGAGCTGCCAAACACCGTCTAAGGGGAACAGTGCACCACATGGCCGTAATTAGTTCTCATCAGAGGCGCAAGAATGCGGTGGTGGGGAAAGCTGATGGGAGCTGATTCCAGCCAGACTGCAGCTTGTCTACTCCTTAATTGTGGTTAGCAAGGAAAGTAAGATCCTGGATTGGCATATGCAGTTTCTCTATGAAATCCCAAGTAAGTGGCAGAGGGAAAGAAACCTGGAAGCTCAGGTTGCATGGTGTGTGTTTCCCGGGTTGGTCATAGGCATCAGGTCTCCTAAAGTCTATGTTAACAAGGTTTTCTTTTTTTTCCAATTTAAATTTTTTATTTTATTTGGAAGGCAGAAAGAGAGCATGTTGTTCGGGGTAGGGGCGGTGGTAGGAGAAAAAGGGAGAGGAAGGTCTTTTATCCACTGTTACACTCCTCACATGCCTGTAATGGCTGGGGCTGGGCCATGCTGAAGGCAGGAGGCAGGACTTCAATCTGGGTCTCCCATACGGGTGGCAGGGAACCAAGCACCGACCCATCACCTGCTGCCTGTCAGGGTGCACATGGGCAGGAGGTGAAGCCAGGGCTGAAACCCAGCTTCTCTGATATGGGATGTGCATGTCCCAACGGATGTCCCAGCCGCTCCACCAAATGCCAACCCCTAACGTCAGCATTAGATGTGCTTTGAGTTTATCCGTCCTGTAGGCCATGTGTGCAACATCAGCAACTTAGTGAAAGTTCCCTCCAACTTTGTAACCTTCCCTTTTATTGCCTCTGAATTTTGCTTGGTTGAGACTTTGAATTCTGTTTTTTGGCAACAAGGCAAAATGCTTGCCTGCTGGGCTGGTGGAGTGGCTTGGGGTCCGAGGACTTGTGAGTGGGTATTTTCCATGTTAACGAGCAGCTCTGTCTAAGCTGGTGTGACATGGCTTTGGGAAGGAGGGAATTGGGACACATTAGGAACCTACTGTGTCTATAGGAGGACAAGGAACATTGTGTTCACTGTGCCTGCTCTAGAACCAGTCATTTAGAGGCAGCTTTAAGTAAGGAGACTTGGGGCTAATGAGTTGACTTGGTTGATGACATTGTTTCACTTCAAATGCTCCCTGTACATTTTGGGGATTAAGGAGATATTCTGTAGAAAGAAAAAGAGGGGCAGGCACTGTGGTGCAGCGGTTAAAGCCGCTACCTGTAGTGCAAGCATCCCATATGGGCAACAGTTTGAGTCTCGGCTGCTCCACTTCCAATCCCGCTCGCTGCTGTGGCCTGGGAAAGCAGTAAAAGATGGCCCAAGTCCTTGGGCCCCTGCACCCATGTGGGAGACCCAGAAGAAGCTGCTGGTTCCTGGCTTCAGATCAGCGCAGCTCTGGCTGTTGAGGCCATCTGGGGAGTGAACCAGGGATGTAAGACCTCTCTCTCTCTCCCTCTGCTTCTCTGTAACTCTGCCTTTCAAATAAATATATCAATCTTAAAAAAAAGGAAGGATTTAGATATTTGTGTTTGGCTTTAGAAAGTCAAGAACCACATTGTCCTTAAAAGCTAATTACTGGCCAGCGCCGCAGCTCACTAGGCTAATCCTCCGCCTGCGGCGCCGGCACACCGGGTTCTAGTCCTGGTCGGGGTGCTAGATTCTGTCCCGGTTGCCCCTCTTCCAGTCCAGCTCTCTGCTGTGGCCCGGGAGTGCAGTGGAGGATGGCCCAAGTGCTTGGGCCCTGCACCCACATGGGAGACCAGGAGAAGCACCTGGCTCCTGGCTTCGGATCAGTGTAATGCGCCGGCCGCGGCGGCCATTGGAGGGTGAACCAACGGCAAAAAGGAAGACCTTTCTCTCTGTCTCTCTCTCTCACTGTCCACTCTGCCTGTCAAAAAAAAAAAAA